ATATAATTCTCATAAAAGATAAAACTGAACTTTAATTCTATAAAGGTGATAATAACATTAACAAGTCTGTGTTTTTCTCTCTCTCTTTCTCTCTCGATATTTTAATAATTTCCAGGTGTTAATTATCACTAAATGAGAACTAAAGTTTATGGTTTTATGTAGTCAATGTGTACTCATTGTATATACTTCAAAGGTGACCTTGATAATATTTTAAGTTCGTTGAGAAGAGTTTGCAGTGAAAAAAATAAAGAACTTTTGTACTTTTGCACTTTTTATAGAGAAATAAAATGGTTAAGATCGTGAGTTAGTTGAAGCTAGACCACCATGGAAAACCTGGAATCTCTGGACTGCCCTTTCGTCCTATTGTGGGACTCAGCAGTGCGAATCCACAACCTCGCCCCCTGTGAGATTCGAACCCAGGACCTATTGGTTTCGCGCGCGAGCACTTAGCAACTAGACCACTGAGCCGGCGTCCAACGGTGTTAATGTCTAACTTCAACTAATACACGAAGTTGAGCAATATACCCACCATTGTCATCAGTGAGTTACTATCTCACAACAAACTCGATTGAACTCCACTGGTCACTGCTTCTCATTAGAACTCCAGTAAATACTTATTGAAGCTAGTTACTAGTGAGCATATGTTGATTAATATCCACAAAACCTATTTGATAGAAATAAAATGATTTATAAATGACAGGGGTTTCAGTGCTCTTAGGAGAAAACAAATATTCTGAATATTTACAAAATAACTTTCTGTATTTTTAAAGCTCCACTACTTCAGCCTGTTTCCTGGATCTTCAATTTACAGTTCATGTCCGCAATTATCAACAAAATGATCGTAAACTTTATAGTTTAAAACTAATGTGTACTACATATTGTCAAATTGTTTATATACGTCACATTCTCATATAGGATAATTAAAGAAAATACTCATTACTTTAGGTGGATTATAATTCCATAGTTAGGAGCAAAAAGATTATTTATAAGTGCTACATCACGAAAACGATTATTTACAAAGGCATGACTAAATGGAATATCAAATAAATGTCAATCTCTTGAGACTATTAGTAGTCAAAACAATACAAAGACCTGAAATTAACACAACAATGAATGTGTTCGTATGAAAATTGGCTTAAAACAAATATTATATAAACCAATCGAAGATAGAAATCATATTTATTTACATTTTCTCTATTTTCACAATCTATATGTATCACAATCCTACTGTAGCATACTCAGATCCCTATACTACTAGTTAAAATAACCATCGGAATAAACCAATATAACACTTGTGAAATAACTGGAATGCTCTCCTTTGAATGAAGTAGACTCTGAAGATGTTAATCAGAATAGCAATGAATGCTCCTCATTTAAACCCTCTAGCTTGGGGAATTCAACACCACTAAAATTAAACTGTAATACAAAATACCATTATTAACTAATCCATTTGCATAATTCAATGCAATTACATAGTTCTGCAGAAATATTAAATACATTCTGACAATATTTGGACAAATTACAAAAACCTGTACATATCCTAACTAAGTGCAGGGAAAATCTGTATGTAAGTTAAGATTTATGCAAATAGTATTGTTGTAATAATTTACCTTCGATAACAGGAAATCTAGAAATTATAAACTGAGTAAATGGTTAAGGTACTATGAAGTTTATTTACTTTTTAAAATTTCAACAGTATACGGTCTTTCTACAAAAAGAAAACTTCCCCTTAGAAATACAATCATGATAACCTTGTGTTAAATGGACAGTTCTACTTTCTGAATGGATGCACCAAATTATTTCTATTATTATTGTGAGATGTTACAAAAGGGGAAGAAAGAAGGGTACACAAAACAAACAAAATTTGACATAAACCAACATTTCATAATAAAAAGACTCAGATAGTTAAATCTTCTACCTCATTTATATCACCCCTTACTGTAAATGAAAAATTTAACAGAAGCCGCAAATTTTATTGACCTTCTAACCCAATTGTGTAAAAATCGCAAGTTTATAACTAACCAATCAGAATATTTACTGATTAAGTTTGTAAGTTAGTCTCTATCCTAACTCATTCATTTTGATGAGAATTTGTTATCTAGTTTATTGCCACATACTATTAAAATAATTATTCATATAATTATGTTCCGAAAAATTTTTTTTCACCCTGATTTACAAATTTCAGACATTACTAATAACTATTAACAACATACAGTCGGTTAATAGAATATTTTTTTTGTTGTTCACCACCTTGTAACCTTATTTGTTGATTTAAACCAACATACCATTAGGTTTACATCTACTCATTTTAGTTTTATAGACAGAAGCATCTTAATAAAAGGAGGCAACAAATAATTTCATATAAAAGGCATCAGTTTAATTCTTGTAATACATTATTGGTAAATTCTGTTAAAAAATCACGTAAGTTGTATAATTCTATTAAAATATATGTTATTTTAAGTGATAAGTTAAACTGTTAATTCTGAATGAAATTCGGCTCCTTTATAGTATTCAGTGTAGAAATAAAGGTTTATATTGAAAATAAATAATTACTGAACTGTTTGTATTTAATAGTTAATAAATAATAATCTTTTAACTAAACAGTAACTCTAAGAAGGATATCTTACAGTTACACATCGACACCTTAGTAAGTACTACATTGTTCATTGATCTAAGAGATCATTGTTTATAAGATGTAGATTCAGTCTGTTTGATTATTCAAACAATAGAATCAATAGTTTTAAACTTTGTATCATTTATGCGCTTCGTCAAAAAACTCTCCCAGATATCTAACTATATGACGTTATGTATAATGTCAAATTAATTTCGTATGATCGCAGTAAAACGGACAGCATTAACATTGTTATCATTCGTAAAATTTTTCAATGAGGTTAGGATTTAATAGATAACATTTGGTGTATTGGATCTCCGAATGGATGCCTCGTCTTGGATATAGTTATAAGTCTCTGCTTGAACAACTTCTCGGCTAGTCCTTAATAGTATGAATATCATGTCCTGGATTCCTATACTAGTCATTATTCAAAAATTTAAGTTTTCTTAGTAAAAAGACAGCTTCGACAGTAATGACAAAATTAGATTCTGAAGAGTTTAGCAATCAATCAAACTTACCACTACGAATGGTTAAAAGACAATATTTCATTCCAGGAAACCAGACTAAATAATGGGATACGAAATAAATAAATATACCTAATTACCACATACATTACTTCAAATCCATAAATCTTCGATACAAACAAACAAATTTAACGCAATGTTTAACTCAACATTCGAAAAATTATCTACGCTGATAACACATATTTAAAGAAAGAGAAATAAAAATCGATCCATATTTTGTAAGATTCTATAGCTAATTATTATAATTATTATAATATCCCCAAACTCCTCTCTGATTATAATTGAATTACATCAGATTTTGGGAGAACAAGTAGTCTAGCGACTATTTTTTTTATTATATTTACTTAATTATTTCAATCGATTTTTATAAACTCAAGGTTACTAACTATTTTGCTGACATTTTTGTTAAATTGGACCGATACCATGACAACATATTAGTTTATTGATCAACTATTTAACATTATATGAACAGATCAAAAATATTATATATATAGATAGATATATTGGGCGGGTAAATCGATTAATTGTTCAGTCATTTAATAAGTTTTAATGACTGCATTGACCAAATATTTTGTGTCATTTTCGTTGTTATTTTCACCAATTAGACATAGACAATGTTTCTCATTTTTATGACTGTTCATTTTAGATCATGGTGGGCTGAAAATTGACCTTATTTGACTCTTGATCATAGCCTGTACCATTTGACCTTGGATCATTTTTGACCAATAAAATGAGGTTTTTGTCTGACTAAACAATAGAAAGACTGAAAAATTTTCATCCCTGATCTTTTAAGATCGTATTACTGAAGGGAGATTAGGTGAAGGAAAAATTTAATATACTGGTCATTTGTTCATTTAGTCACTTTAAAATGAATATTAGTGGTTGAATATATGAATAAATGTTTGGAATTTAATAAGTTTGGATCTTGTGATGTAGACTGCTTTAATAATACACAATTGACAACTGGAATAATTTAGAAATGGATTAATAAAAATGTACAGAGACTATGACAGTGGACTACTGTTTTTACATACATCGCTTCCAGCTATGATTATTGAGCATCATGAAACTTTGTAAATTAAAGTATAACACATTCATTTTATGCTTTTTTTAGTATAAAATATTTTAATTGCTTATTATAAATGATAGGACACAGTCGTTTTTATATAAGGTATACTGGGATACCGACATATAGGTTATTGAGTCTGTTAGGTTTCGAACGCTATTAGCAACAACAGAATTTCCTGACTAACAACGTCTCTTCTACAACTAAGTGGTGGTGATGTTTTTAATTAAGTTTACTCCCACTAACTAAGAAGTGAATTCTGAAATAATACTCCAAACATTGTATGTCACACTCAATAAAGTTTGACAAGTTGACAATAACATTGCACTCAATTCTTCCTCTGACGAACTAGATCCAATAAAATTACTAGGTTAACAAATTTGTCTGATCTGTTTTACTCAAATGTTTTGGATAAAACTAACTTTTATCTCCCGGTTGACCATCTGTTAACCTTATATTACTAGCAAAATAATGGTTTGTCCTAATTATTTTATTGATGGATCAAATGTAAAACACACTAGGGCTATATGAAACTCATTTACTTAACTCTGTATCTATACATTTCTCAGAACTCATGTTTAAACTATGCTGATAGGCATGATTATTCCATAAGACCACTTCAGAATTTTTTGCGTATTTTTGGCTGCTTTTACAAAAAAAATATATATTCCGATAAAACTTTCCTTTGGATAAACACATTTAAACAGTCTTTCTTTTCGGTAACTTGTAATATTTTAATATTGAAGTAATTTTGCATGAGTAAGTTTTATCTAAACTACTTTCTTGTAATTTACAGAGAATGGAACACAAGATTAGTACAACTTCCACATCATACAAACTTGAGCGTAAATGGAGCCTGGTTAATGCCTTGGCAAAGGAATTGGCTGATATAGGAGATGAAATTAATGGAAGATTTTCGTATCCTCTTGATAGTCTATCCTATTCAAACGAATTGGCCATGAAAACAATTTCAAATTCACCTGGGACATTCCAACATTCTGATTATCTGAGTTGTAAAGTAAGTTGATGTGGTTTACATAAATAATACTGTTAATGTTTTTTCATCCAATTATGGAAGTTAATCTAATGTTTTGACTATATACTGATTGAAAATATAACCTACCAAATAAAAGTAGAATGTTTAGCTAAATAACTCACAATTTATCCATCGATTACCCAACAGTTATCAAAATTTTTCATGGTTTCATTACATTGCTGACCTTTGATTTTAATAGTACATCTATCGTAATCCATTTAGCCTAGAATGTATATTTATTTTCCTTTGACACAAACTGTACGGTCAGTTATCAATATTTTTATTTAACTTAACTGTACTAGATACAAATATTCTCAAAGCTTTCCTTTGAGCTAAATTCATCAGGTTAGCTACCCTGTTTAAGAAATAACTGATTTTTTCTGAGCTGTATGTATTGGGGTTTAATGATTCATATAGCCAAATGACCCGTTTTGAAAGTACATTTTGTCACATACAGTATTGCTACTGAAAGCTGGATTGTGAAGATCGAACCATTATAAACTAGCAATCCAAGGTTTTCAGTGGTTCATCAGCAGATATAACACTATGAATAAAGCTAGTTTCAATGATGACCTGTTTTCACAAATTCTGTCTTTGTGATTAGTTTGTATTTCCTAGTCAATAGCTTCTTAATTACGTCAAGAAATGTATTTGAAAAGCCACAAACTATAGAGTTCAGTCAGTAATACTACTAAATGATCGTTGCCCAATGTTGCCGAATCAACTAAAACTAGAAAGATAGACTACCAGATTCTGACTCAATTATCTAAAAGATATCATGCTTCCGGAGAAAATGTGAACTTAAAGGTTCAATCTAAAGTGGGCTAACATATGTAGACTACTGAAAATTCACAAACTAGTGCGAAACAACTGTTTAATACTTCCGTGATTCTGTTAGTCTGTGACAAAATTAACTGCATGTGTTATAATAATGCTTTAGTGATTCATGACAGTCAACTACATTTAGTTCATGTCATCACTATCCATTCTAGTGTCCATTTAACTGGAATTGGCATAAAATCAATCATGTCTTACAAACCTTATTTGGTATTTTTGAATAATCTATTAAGATGAAGATTATCAGAACTATGTGATAAGTTAGTACACTGTATTTCAAAGAATCTGACCACACATATACTTGTTAAGAACATCTATACATGAAAAACTAAAAAGTCAACTAGATGAATGGATAAATGACTGATTCATTAGTTCAATAGAAATGTGTCTACACAAAATACTAAAAAAAATTCGTGAAGATGACACGACAATAATTGATTTTGAGCCGGCATCCAACGGTGTTAATGTCTGACTTCAATCGATTCATGATATCGCTCGACCCTTCATCCATTGTCTGAGGTGCCAGATTAGTGGTCTAGAGGTCAAGTGTTCACATGAGAGGCCGAAGGTCTTGTGTTCGGGACCGTGGATGTTCAATTTTGAGAAGTCCCATACTAGAAAGAAATAGCTGACCAGTCCTTTCAGAGTTTCAATGGTGGTCTAGCTTAGATCGACTCATGAATTCAACTATTAAAATTACTATACTCTCTACAAATCCCCATTCTGATAATTAAACATAAATAAATTCATATTTTCACATGAATTGTGAATGAAATATCAACAAGGTACAAGAAACAATAAGAATTGTTTATTAGATTATTGAATGAAATCAATTTTAAATTCATACAGTCAGTTTGTCAGAAATCTTATGTCTGAATAAAAAATCTTAACTCCTGGTTGATTTTTTTATTTAAAAATATATGTAATTAACATGGTAGCTAACAGTAGGCTGTCAGAACATAGTTTCTACCATTATGCAGACACTTGAGAATTCAGTAAACTAATTAAATAAACTGTATATGAGTTTATATTTTTACTCAGCATGTAACTGGGATTTGTATGATCCCCTAACTTCTACATATGAGAATAAAAATCTTATCCAAAAATCAAATCTTACTATAAAATAAAATTTTTGATACAATGTTAATATTATGTAGCTTGTAATGACAAAATACACTTAAAGTCAAATCGAAATTATTTTAATAGCTGATTTGTCTGCCCACGGAATAGTTACTCTCAAAGTTTATGTAATGAAACAATGCACCCTGCTGATAGTTAAACTTTAATTTTATTCATCAAAACATCTGAGAGTAGTCTAGACTATGTCAATACTTAATGAAAAGCTTCACTTACAATTTATTATATTCCTATTTCTAAGTCTATCTAAAACATGTAATGAAAATAATGTCGAGTGTAAACTATTCTGCGTGTTCAAGTTCTTTTGAATATCATATAAATTTCTATGATTTAACCAGTGTTCAGTTAATTGATTAGTTATAATCTTTGGGATTCAGTGATAGTTGATCTCATGATTAGTAATTTTACTTATCTGTGATTAATCGATAATTGTTACATAATTAAATTTGATTTTTATGAAATAAAAACATTGCTACTTTATGTATCTGCTCAAAATACACGTATACTAAACAAGAACGATTATTCACAGTTCGTAACACCAGAAGATTCAAATAACCTTTAACAACGAATAAGAACTTAGTATTCTAGTTTTAGAACTCCATCTATTTTTCACTAAGTGAGCTAAATTTAGTTATCATTTCTAGTTTTGACAATGATTCCTTTTTTCTTTATAGTATTAAGTCACGCTTAATATCATCAAAAAAGAAAAACTTTAACTTAGGGAGAAAAATGAATGAAGAAAAACAATAGCAATCTACAATGTTTAAAAAAATCAAACGTCTTATTTCCAGTTTTTAGACATAAACAAAACGAAAGAATAAACAATAATCAGTGGTCTAGAGGTTAAGCGTTCGCAAGCGAGACTGACGCGTCCTTGGTTCGAATCTCGTGGGGCGGGATTGTGGATGTGCACTGCTGAGGAGTCCTATACTAGGCCGAAACAGCCGTACAGTGCTTTCAGGTTTTCCATGGTGGTCTGGTTTCAATCGACTCAGGAACTTAACTATAAAATGATCAGATTACTGGATTTCAAATAGATTTAGTCATATTTAAACTTCTCATGTAACAAACTGCTTGGTAGCTAAAGTTGATGAATAATGAACTGTTGTTTATTTTTCTTACAGACTGGATTCAATTCAAAAGGTGAAACTATTCGTTTATTTTACTATGCTACACCTGTACTGGTTATAGCCTACCTGTTCTATCGAAGAATCAGTTAAAATAGTACCTCACCTGGATGACATTACACAGATTTTATTATTTAAACTAACAATCAGATATCAGATGTCTACTCTTATCCACTTAACCAAAAGGAATTTATTCAGCAAGATGAAAACAATCCCCGAATTGTCAGATTCAGAATTTATTAATGAAATGGAATATCAAGCCATGTTAAATTTGTACACATGAGAAGCGTAGATACTGTATACATGGGAGATTTTTCAAACAGTTGGAAACTTGATTCGTTAATCATCAAATCGTGAATCATGCTACTTGGATATGCGTATGAATCTAATAGTGCTTCTAATTAACAACAAACCTAAAAGTTGAATTCTAATGAGGCACCGAAACAACTAGGACCGGATACCAACTCTATGTATATTTTCATTGTATATGAAAAACATATTTTCTGACTTACCGTAGTATATTTTTTCCAAATAAATGTCTGACAATGATTTATGGATTCTTTCCATAAAAAATGATAATGGTGAAAAAATCAAGGGTTTTTAAATGTTTTTCTAAATTTTTTACGTATATACTTCGTGGATGCGCATTGTTGAGGAGTCCCACAATATGACGAAACGGCCATCCAGTGCTTCCAGGTTTTCCATGGTGGTCTAGCTTCAATCGACTGATGATCTCAACTATTGAAATTACGTATATACTTCTCGATAAAAGTTTTCCTGTAACATATTGATCTTAGTATAAATGAAAAAAGGGAATTTATAATTACTTATATTCATTGTTCAAACCCCCCCCCGCGAATTCAGAGGTTTACAAATCAGATTATTCTTATGATAGTTTCCATAGTAAAGTGAAATTTATTTTAGAAAATGTTTCACTCAATAAATGTTTCACCTTATCTTAAGAAATTTTAGTATTCTTTATGATGGTGAATATTGGATGAAATCGACCAAAGATTAAGAGTGATATCAATTGCTGAGAAGCAACTGAAATATTCGATAAGTTGGATAATGAAAGTCATTATAACAGAGGATGAGTTGCTCTAATAACAGTACTGCTTTTTTCAGGGCTAAGAACTTTTCTTGTCGTTTGATGTTGAAGAAGACTCGTGAAGGTATATACTTAGGGGTTAAATCATAATTCTGTTTTATCTCAATGGCATTCCATAATTTTTACGATCTCATTGGATTTGACAGAACAGTTGTCCACGAAGATGAAACAAAACGTTAGTAATGCTGTTACTTGTTGAAAAATCTTACTAAATAGCGGGCTACTTTATCGATTCTTAGACTTATTAAGGAAATATCTAGAATTATATAGCGTTAAACTTCCAGGGGTTTCACTCGAACTCTGTGATTACTCCTTACTTTTATTCCATAATGCATATAAGGCCGAAGCGCCCAGGTAATTAATTTGTTCCTACAAATACGACAGTAAGCATTAGGAAAGAACATTATTCGGCAGTAATTATCACAAGAGAAACGGCTAGAAACGTAGCTTCACTAACCAATGAACTGCCGGTAAAATACGAACTTCAATGATTAAGTGGTTATACCTTTTATGTTGATCAGCAAATTTCGATAAAAAAAGACTAATTCATTTTAACCGTCTGTAAAGCGGTCCGAATACTTCTTAGATTTGACGCTCACAAATAGCTAATTGTAAATGAACAATATTTTTGACCAAGCCCTATTCGAAAATAGCTAATAGATTGCTCCTCCCTCTATGTTACGAAATATTATTTCAAATGAACAACTACAGTGACAAGTTTGCACAAAAAATCAACAAAGACAAGAATAAGTACTTCTTTACCTAGGAATATCCATAACTAAAAAAAGGAGATTTATAACTGATCAATCACTGAGTATTGATCACTCCATTGCAAATATCTCAGTTCTGCTCAACACCCGTCGCCACCCAGACGGCTTAGTGGTAATGTCTCACACTGAATTTGTATGATACAGAGAGAGTGAGCTTCCACAAGATTACAAGTGCACCTCGTTGATGAGTACCAAATAGAGAAAAACTTAAGTTAGCGGTTTCGGGACAACCACTTAAAACCACCTAACTAAAAGGAGCTTTACTTGTTTCTTTGTGGACTGTTTGCTAAATAAAGCCGGAAATAAGTGAAAGCATTCAGACGTAGTGTTAACATCATTCTAAGAATAAACGCAATTTAAGAAGAAAAGATTTGGGATTGTTTTAAGTAAAATATGTTCATTGCCGTCAGGTGTGACTTAAAATAAAAAGAGGATTAATGTTGCACAAAAGACCATAGAAAAATCTTTAGTAAAAACCTAGTTATATGGGTAGTAAATTGGATAGTTAATTGTTTCAAACTGTAATCGAGAAAGTTGTACTTAGTTTACTGAAGAAAGTAAAACAAATGATGTATTGCAAGACAACGATATACACATAAGTAATCCGGAAAGATTCGAAAACAGTAATGCCCAGTATTTTAAAGAATGATGAATCATAATATTCTAAAAGCAAGATGTCAGTCTTTTACTTTAGTATTTATTAGAAATTCAACAGTTCCAACTGACTGATGTTAAAAATTTGAAATAATGATTTGCAGCCGGTGTCGTTGCAGTCACAAGAAAAGCCATCATGATGAGCTGATTTAACACTTATGGAATGAATAAACAGCTATCTTCTAAACGAAGTAAACCCTGATAATGTCCAAAACAACGATGAAAATTCGTCAATTAAGCAATCTGTGTCAGAGAACTTGATAACATCATAAAGTGTTGAAACGTATACTGATCATCATATCTTATTGAATGGTAACCTGTAATTCTGTTGGTATAGATCACTCAGTCTACGTAAAAATTTTACGATACGTGAAAGAGTTTATACAGATTATGGAATTAGGAATTTTCAGCTACTCTTTATGGTTAGAAATATAACAACTCAACAAAAACTATTTGACGCCTATAAGAACTAGCAACCACACTATTACAGTCCTTGTTTATGAGATTAAGTCCATTTCCAACTGTTCCATTTAGTTCTACGGAGTAATAATCATCATTCATAGTTTGTTTTTAATGTTTTCCTTTTGATTAAATCAATCTTTTTCTTCACTAAATCACATCATTATATTTAGCTGAATTTCCAATCCGATGAAGTAATTAATATATGAACTGAGAAGTTAAAGTCCCTTAAGTTCAGTATATTTCTTTATTTTACAGTTTTCAAGACTAAATGCTTTTTTCTAAGTTGCAGTGTAATGAACGAGAACGTAGGTGAGGACAACCAATTGTATAGCAACTCAGAATTACATAGTTCTCTAGTCAAATGTGTAAACAAAACGTTCAATACTTCATGTATAAATTATCTATCAATTGTCTTAAACTTAATTGTTCCTTCATTTCCGTAACAATTACTATCTGGTCCCGTTCTCTTCAATCTGATCTTCCTAACTTTCTGCCTCCAGGTATTCCATTTCTGACTGGTGTTATATGCTACTTATACCGACATAAGTAGCACACACCACAATAGTATTACTTTTTTCAAAAATTTCGCAAATTATTGTGAGACAGTTAAAAGCTTTATGCTATCTGCTTCTAGTTTCTATTTCCAGATTGTCTTAAGTTAAGTATTCTACTATTGTTGATTATTGTGTACTTGGCAGGTCGTTAGCTCATCTTTTCTTTTGTCGTTCTCATTCTCAGCTCTCCTCACTCGCTGTACTCGTTGTGCTCCCCAAGTACCTTTTGACTAGATGCAAATCTCCATATATTCATACAAACAGAAAAGGTTATATTTTAGATATTTACTTTTAGATAACTTAAAATACTTTATTACCACTGACTCTATATTAATGCACAAAGTTCAATGATACAAATATTTTGACGTATTGTAATTTCCTTCGACTTAATATGTTAATTTTTATTTATCAGTTAAGGATTGTGGACATTGTTGAGCTTAGATTGATATCATGAATGAATCAATGCTAGTCCACCATTTAAAACCTGGAAGCACTAGACGGCTGTTTTATCCTAGTACGGGAATCCTCAGAAGTGTGCATCTGCGATCCTGCACATGGAACTCAAACCCAACACCTTCAGTCTCGCTCGTGAACGCTTAACCTCTGGACCACTGACCCAGAATCAGACGGTGTGAATGTCTATCTTCAACCAATCCACCATATTGCGTAACCGTCCTCCATTGTCTTCATTGAGTAACTGCCTAACAACAGACATGGATAAACTTCACTGGTCATGATTTCTCACTAGAACTTTAGGAAATCCATCTTGAAGTTAATCACTAGTGAGCACATGATAATTATCAGTAAAGGGTTGTGAAGATTGCTGAGCTTAGATTGATATTATGAATGCATGAAAGTTAGACCACTATAAGTAAATATCACGAACAACTTTTCTTCATAATTCTCTTAATTCTAGATCATGATAGAAGATCAAGTGAATATTTTGGTCATAGATCTAAGTGACTATTTATTACATCACTGTTCTTTATTTTCATAAAACTACTTACTACATGTGGTTGATGAAAATCCTAATAATTGTGAGTAATTATAAGGTAAAAGATCCTACTTATTAATACAGGTTGGGTATATTTGATTGGATCAATCACGTATTATTTGTCGATTATTTCGTTCAACTTTTGTCCAGTATTTGAGCAAGGTAAAGTGACAAAATTTCTATCTGTCTATATATTGTTGTCATTATCTTAGTGGATAATGGGTTGGTGTTTGAAGCTATAGGTATTGGATTCAAGTCTTAACTTGAATATCAAACACTAAGATACAGGTATATCAACAAGACGAGAGAAAAACAAGACAGAAAACGCGCCCTAGACTCCACTATCATACACAATCAAATTTTACCGAACCATGTAGTTATTTTAGCTTATTTTTCTGTCTGGCTGTGTCAACTCCCTTATATTAATTTTCGGAAATATAGCTCAGATTAAGAGAATTATTCAGATCTATTGACCTTCGATTTAAATCTGAATAAGATGAAAATGTAGTTTGTTTAGAATGATTTCGAAACCTTGAACGATCACAAAGTTATGAAAATAGAAAGTCATATGACAAATATTTTGTCAGTCACACAATGTGTGACTATCTCTTTGAGAAAACAATTCTCTCTTAACAAATTTAAGTAATGTATTCTGATGAGGTTGGAAATGACCAAGAGTTCATTTGATATTTCCATTCAATAATATGCAGTTAAATTTCCTAATTGTAAAATTTATTCCACAAAACCTATTTTCTCCATATATGAAGGGTGAATTTAATATGTCAGCCTATTTGACTAAATCCTTCATTGGAATTTTTATCACTTCTAATCTGTAATTAAATTTTTTTTATGAGTTGCTGCCATGTTTGTCAATAAGAATGTCTACTCAAAACCTGTTTCTATCATAGTTACTAACTGAAGTTTAACAGTTTTCTGTGAAAATAGAATGAAAAATTCATTATTCTTTTGGAACAATGTGTGTTTAGATAAACAAATTCAATGTAAAAGAATTTCTATAGAATCATTATTTATGGTCTAATGCGTTAGGTTATGTGTGATAAAAATTAATAGTTTAGGAAGGGAATATATATATATATATATATATATATTCAGTTGAGTAGCTGTTGAGTTGTCAT